CAGTCAGGGCACATGCCTCGGTTGAGGGCCAGGTCCCAGGTTGTGGGCATGCAAGAGGCAACCGCACACTGATGTTTCTCTCCTTCCTTCTCCCTCCCTTCCCCTCTCTCTAGAAATAAATACATAAAACCTTTTTTAAAAAAGCAAGAAAAGCATAAAATTTCTAAAGCCCTTTGTTCTTGGACTGTCCATTGACACCAGCTGATCTGAGTCAGTCCTGGAGACTCCTGCAGGTCTTTGGTAAAGTCATCATTTCATACATATTTCCCACCACTGGAGGGGGGCCACCCTCTGGCAAGGGGCTGCTCTCACAAAAACTCCAGGCACAAGCAGAATTCCTCTACTTAATTATTGTATTTGTAGCAGGAGCTACTAGCCTGAAGGCCAACAGAGCAGAGAAGCATTTCACTGTTACAAAAGTAGAAGAATCACTGCTATAAACATTTTTTGAAACTAAAATACCTTATGTTTAACTAAAACATTGTTCAATATCGTATCACATACTTGATTCATCAGAGTTGGCCTCAAATGGCCCGTGACCATTGTAACACTAAATGTACTCTCAAGATACAAAGATTTGCCACCAATAAGGACATTAAAAATGATTTACCAACATCTCAAAAAGAAATAACACAAAAAGTATCAATAATCAAGTCAGCATTATTAGAAAAAAGTTTAATCTACAAACAAGTGCTTACTTGAAGAAGACACTCATGGAATATATGCATTTTATTGTATTTCATTTTATTTTATTTTTAATCCTCTCCCGAGGATATGCTTATTGATTTTAGTGAGAGAGGAAAGGAGAGAGAGAAACATTGATCGGTTGCCCGGTTGCCTGCCATACATGCCCTGACTGGGGATGGAACCTACAACCCTTTTGTTTTGGGTGGAGGGCACTGTATGGGATGACACTCTAAATAACTTAGCCATCCAGCCAGGACATGAAATGTCTGCAATTAAAACGTATTTCTTTCAAAAGTCCCTGTACCTACAGAGTCAATTTAATTACTTTCTGTGACACTAATTTCATGGTTTCATGGAACCACGTATCCATGATATAACTGTTCTGAGTTTAAGGTAAAGACATCATTTTTGAGTACTACAACTGTGCAGAAACTTTATTTCTTTAATATGACCTTTACCCCTTTCTTTCCTTTTGATCCAAACTGACCTCCCCCAGCACCCTGACTCATCTGCCTCCCTCTCCCTAGCATGTCCACTCCCTTAATCATTAAACCCTCAGAACGATAGGGCTCTTGTTAGTATCGTACTGTCTTAAGAACAAAGCCTGTCTGTTGGCCACAGAAGCAGAGTTTCGGTCAGGCTAAAGGTAACATCTTGACTTCAGTTGGGTTTCAGCCCCAGGCCCCTGAAAGCAGAAGGGCCCCACAGACCACACCCTCACGCCACCAGACAGAACAGTGCCATGGCTGACCTCAGGACCTGGCCCCAACCAGTCAGTAGACCCCTCGACCCCAACTCCTTTAGCTGCCATGATTAATGGTTTTTCCCCTATGTAACCCATCCCCTGGCAGCCATCAGGGAGCCAGCACCTTTAGCACTAGCATACCTATGACTCCAGGCTTGGTGCCATTTCCTCAAATAACAAAGCTCCCTTTTCTTTGGGGCACACTCCTCTTCGAGGTTGACTGGGCCTTAATGTGCACAGGTGAACTGACCCCATTAGTCTGGTGGTACAAGTAGGTTTCATTCTTTGAAATGAGAAGCAAGCAGGCACTATTTGTAAATTATGAACCACCTTTTTCCTCAAAATAAAAAGGGTTTGAAAAAGGTAATGAACAAGCTCTAACAGCCCTCACTAAGTAAGCCCCTGTGAGGTTTTAACTAAGATAATTATAGTCCTAGTATCACATAGTTAAAAATAGCAATATCAAGCATATACCCACATGATCTATTTCTTCTCCAAATAGTAAAAATATCTACTATTGGTAATTGAGAGCTCATTTTGAATTTCTGTGTATGCTGTTTTCAATAATCTCCGTATACATTATACATAAACTATATTTTATACCTATTTTAATCACTTATACAGTTAAATGAAAATATTTGGGTCTATATTTGATTACTAAAACACTGTAAAACTATTAAGCAATAAAACTCTTAAAAAGTCCCATTATTCTACAATAATGACAATGACTACTGGCATTGGTAATCCAGAAATCATTCATATCTTATATTGAATCTAAATATAAAATCAGTAGAGATCCTCTTCTTAAATGCTTTACAGAGCTAATATTGCTCATATTTCCTCAACCTACAGAACTTAGACAAATGATTTAAAGGTCCTACAGTCTACTGCATGCAAGCCAGACTAAAGTTAAAAACTGACTATGCATTTCTAAAGTGTGGACAATCAATAGCATATAAAATTAATACACATATATACAAGTAATGCAAGTATATAAAAGTAATATACTACATTAACAAGAAAAATTAATTTCATATTCAAATCAGTGCTTCTATAATTCTCCCTTTCTTCTTATTCCCAAATAACAAGCCAAAATTAGGTGTACATAGCAAAGCTTAATATTCTTGTGTAAATGAATCAGGACTTATTTTACACAGAGGAGTAAATGTTATAAGACTAAACACAAAGTGCTAATGAACTAAAATTTAAATTAAAAAGTGTTATTTAGTCACAGAAAAAAATCAACCTCTGATTTTTTTTATGTTTCAGGGAATTACCTTAAGGGCTATTTATTCATAATACTCAAACTAGTACCATCAAAATGTGTTAAGGCAGGCTCAAGCTAAATTACACTAAAAATCACTAATGAATAGAGAAGTAATTCTAAAACCATATTTTGAGTACTTTATCAAAAGAGCAAAAGTATTAAGACCAATTCTGCTGTCTAAAAAACATGTCATCAAAAACATTAAGTTAATAATATAAGGCCATTCAATTGCTGGTAAAAATAATAATGCCCTGGCCAGTGGGGTTGAGCTGGAGCGTAGACCTGTAAATGGAAAGATGGCTGGTCTGATCCTTGGTCAGGGCACGTATACCAGAAGCAACCAATCAATGCTTCTCTCTCACAATGATGTTCCTCTCCCTCTCTCTCTCCCTCCCTTCCCCTCTCTCTAAAATCAATAAGCACGTCCTGGAATAAGAATAAAAAAAAAAAAACTATGAAGGGAGCAAGTTTCTAGTCCTGCCCCATCCTCACATGCTATACGGAAACCATGACTTGCCCATTATACACACAAAGGCAACTGTGAGGTACAGAATAGTGGTTAAGAACAGTGTTTTGGACTGGCAGAGAATGCACTGCCTGTCTGATTTAAAATAAGACACAACCTGTCCATTCTCACTTTTAAAGTAGGGATGCCAATATTTCCTCATATCACAAAAACTAAGCAAGATAGCATATATGAAGTCCTGGGCCAGTGCCTGTCACAAAGAATTCAAATTATGGTGCCATTTAATATTCATACAGACAGACACAGTAACAAATATAGACGTTATATATGCCCCTTAATATACTTATTTCCTAGCCCTGACACATGAGAGGACCTAGAAGCATTGACACTTCACAGCGGCAATGAGCAAACCTGGTGTCCGCATCTCTGATCTACTTCTAAACACCATTCTCTAAGTGAAAGGGACCAGGGCTCCTTGGAAACGTGGTTGCTTCCAAGGATGAGGAAGAAAAAATATGAGACTAGAACATCTTCAAATGCCAGAAAATAAGAAAATGCTCAAAAAAGAATGAGGGCATGTTGAGAAGACCCAGAAGCCAGCCTGAACAAGGTCCTGTGGCCAAACTTGGAACAATGAGCAGCAAAAGAAATAATGATCCCACCAGACTACATCTCACAGAATTAAAAAAATCCGTGAGTCTGTACTGTGAAAGGATAGCTCTTCCTTACACAAGGATTCCATTAATAAATGTGGATGAAAGAAGAAAACAGAAAATCACCACTAAGCGAACAATGCAGTAATGACTGTTGCAGGCAAGATCCGCTGACAGATGCTAACATTAGTAGACAGAAAGGCCAAAGAGAAACAGGATACTTACACACTACAATAACTTCACTGTGGAGAAATCTGGCAGACAAGGGTTAGTGCCCTAGTAATAAGATATAGTGACATCACGAGCCCCTGATATTATGTACTGAGAAGGACACACTAACACTTCTGTCCTCTTCCTGCCGAAAAATGCACACATAACCTTACTCTAATCATGACAAAACATCACACAAACCCAAGTTGGGGTCATTCTACAAAACAACTAATCAGTTTTCTTCAGGAGTTCAAGAACACAAAAGACAAGAAACTGAGGAATTGTCACAGACTGGGGAAGACTAAGGAGACATTACAAATAAATGGAAGGTAAGATCCTACATTAGATCCTGGAACAAAAAAAGAACATAAATGGGAAAACTGGTAAAATTCAAGTAAGATTTGTAGTTTAGATAATAATATTGCACTGTTAATTTCCTAGTTTATTCATTATACTATAATTATATATTATACTATAATTTTGTATATTAGGGGAAGATGGGTGAGGGGACACATGAACTCTGTGATTTTACTACTTTTGTGTAAGGTTAAACTTGTCTCAAAACAGTTTTTAAAGCTTTTTTAATATATGAAATCCACAGTTGCATAGGCAATGTATTACAGCTTTCTCTTTGCTTTGCCTTAAAATCATTACCATATTTTTCAGACCATAAGACACATTTATCCCTGCCCCCCAAATCTGGGAGGAATAATGGTTGTTAATGCTGCTGTTGAGTTCTGTTTACATTTACATTGGTGAAATATTATTTTATGTTATTAAATATTTTACCACACATTTTTTGCTTCAAAATTTTTTTTCCTATTTTCCTCCTCTAAAACCTAGGTGTATCTTATGGTCCGAAAATACGGAAGCTATGTTAAAATATCCCTTCATTGCTGAAACTAGAATACATACATCTAAAAACTGAGCTCTGAAAAATGTAATCAATAAATACATTACAGATCCCATTACCTGTAATTTTATATCCATAAGCAGCTAGTTGTCCAGCCATATATTCTCCATCTGAATTATTATGAGAACAACCCCATGTCCGTATCCAAATTTTCTGTATGCCAGGAATAGTGCTATCAAACAATCAATAAAAGAAAAAAGTGAGCTTTGTTCAATGATTTTTAAAATAAAACATACTAGATGATTTCTGGGCATATTATGAAAAACATAAACCACTCACTGCATCCCATTCACAAGCTATTCATTAAATGCACCAACTTAATCTATAATCTGTTGGCACACCAAAAGTCTAATATCAAGATAAAATAACCACAGAATTCTAAGGTAAGACTCTCTACACAAAAATATCTCCTTTTTCTCTGAATTGTATTTTAAATTCAGTAGTACTAATGTACTACTGATATTAAGTTTGACTCTTAAATGGTACATACAAGTAACAATAGCAAAGAAAATGGTTCTAGTTAACAATGATAAATAAAAAAAAAGTAACTTAAGTATATCCATCTGCTCACAAAGAGAGACTCTATATACTCACTCCAATCTATTTTATAACTTAGAGATATAAATAACTGCATCAAAATGGACAAACTATCATCTTATGGCATTATTAAAAGTACTTCATCTATAAAAATACAGTTCAAAAATATAGTTTTAGGAAAGAATAAAAGGGCTTTCGACTTGGATTGCCCTAATAATTTAAAATTAAACAGAAATTACCTTAAGAATAGGTTCAGGACAAATTTGAAAAACATCAGTTATTTTTAAAATAGAAGCAAACATCCCTGGCTGGTGTGGTTCAGTGGATTGAGCACCGGCCTACAAACTGAAACATCACCGGTTCGATTCCCAGTCAGAGCACATGTCTCGGTTGCAGGCCAGGTCCCCAGTAGGGGACAAGCAAGAGGCAACTGATGTTTTTCTCGTACGTTGATGTTTCTCTCCCTCTCTTTCTCCCTCCCTCTCTAAAAATAAATAAATGAAATCTTTTATAAAAGTAAAATAGAAGCAAATATTTTCATATATTTTAAAAGCTTAATGATCCAAACAAATTCAAGTATATTAAAATTTCCAACAATACTAAATAAATATAAGTATATTAAATTATACAACTGCATAATCAACCATTCCTGACTAGGTTTTATTAGAATTTCGCCAGAGATTTAATTTTGTAAACAGTGCAATAATTTGTGTCCAATGCCTTTACCTGAACCATAAGTATTTGTAACTTTGCTAACAAAAATCAAATGTCCAAACCACCTCTCTATCATAAGAACCACAAATTGCAGTAGAAATTTCAATTTGGAAGTTACAGAAAATTACATACCAGATATAGTAATATCAAAAAGGTGAGGGTAGGGTCCTATCTATACACCCAATACTGTCCTAAGCCCTGCCTTCAAGGAACATGCAGTTTAAGACCTTTTTTTAACCAATTACATTGCTAAATTAAAAAACATTCAAATAAAAAATTAATCTACAAGCCCTGGCTGGCGTAGCTCAGTGGATGCAGCGCGGGCTGGGAACCAAAGTGTCCCAGGTTCGATTCCCAGCCAGGGTACATGCCTGGGTTGCAGGCCATAACTCCCAGCAACCGCACATTGATGTTTCTCTCTCTCTCTCTCTCTCCCTCCCTTCCCTCTCTAAAAATAAATAAATAAAATCTTTAAAAAAAAAAATTAATCTACATACTTTCTCTCAAAGGTTTGAAGATTTTTTAAAAGAGAACTTACGCATATCACATAGACCAGTGCTACCAGCTTCTCCCTGGGAATGACATGGAATTAAAAAAAACAAAGCTTACCTATCACTTGGTGGACTCTCCTCCTCTTGCAAATTCTGTTGGGTATTTCTTCTTCGCACCTTTGGAACAATGTGCTTTCTTGCAAAATGCCTATCTTGTGGCTTTGAATCTTGCTGCGACACAATATCTTCTATGTCATCCACTAGTGTATCACAGGATGCAGAAGGCATCTTCTTCACCCCATAAAAGAGTTATAAATGATACAAGCTTATGAGTCTCTCAGAAAATGTTTAACACAGCTTCACCTATAAAGTATCCTTGCTGAACTTGAATCCAATAAAGCATTTTGTTTTAACTTCAGGTTTACAGAAAATGCAGAGATAAAGAAACATAAGGACACAATCAGACAAATCGTATTGATAGTGGGACATTCCAAGGCTCAAACTGAACTATGTCTTCAACAAATCAATATCATGGAGAAAAAAGCAAGAGAACTGTTCAAGATCAAAGGAAACTTAAAAGCACACCACCTAAATGCAATGCATGTTCTTGTTTAGATCTTACTTCATCCAACCAGCTGCAAGACAATTGGGGAACGACTAGGGAAATCAGAATGTGAACTGGGTATCAGATAACATTAGGATGATGTTATTTATCAGTGATTTTCAACCTTTTTCATTTCATGGCACACATAAACTAATTACAAAATTCTGCAGCACACCAAAAAATAGATTACATTTTTACAGATCTGACAAAAAAGAGATATAATTTTGATTGATTTACAAAAAAAACAATAATAGTGGTAATTACCTACTCTTTTTGCTCCAGAGTGACTTTTGAAAAAATCAGGTACCTATACTTTTATATAAGGATTTCTGGTACCAAGAATTAATCAATCCTTACTATGCAACATGACCAGTAAGATGCACTTCTATTGTATGACCTATATATTTATGGTTCAAGACAGGGCATTCACACCGGATGGGTATTGTTGTGTTGTCTGCTGTCATTTCTTTTTGTTTAGCAATCTAACAGAAAAGAGGTCAGTGCTGACTAGTAAGGTACTGCATACTTTAAAAACTCTTGAAGCACACCAGTTCAAAATCATTGCTATACATGATTAAATATAAAGTATTGCCCCTATGTTTAAAAATCTTACTTTTTTTACACTGAATACATTATTTATATGTTATAAAATATCTTTTTTGGATATGTTATAAAATATATTGAATACCTGGACGTGAAATGTCATTACATTGTAATTTACTAAAATAAAAATTAAATTAAGAAATATGGGAAAACATTTACAACTCTTAATTCTAGAAAAAAGATGTATTGGTGTTCATTATCCTATTTTTGTAAATAAGAAAAGAAAATGTGGACACAGCTTCCAGGAAGATAGAGTAGACATTCTTTTCCCTGTGTCTCCTGATAAGTACAACCAAAACTCTGGACATTACATATAAAATAAACACAAGAAGACTTTGAAAGGTGGAAAGAAAATGGTAACAGGCTAGGGACCTTGGAATCCAAGAAAAAACACAACGGTGAGTTCCTTGTGGTTTATTTTGCCTCCTGTCCCCAGACACAGAGCTAAAGAAGCCAGTGACCCTGAAGTACCAACACACATAGATGATAAAAGCCCCAACAAAAGCCTGTTTTCTTGTCAAGGAACCAGAAAAGGGGCAGCCTACCAACACAGAAAATTTTGACAATAACTATTCTGCATGTGAAAAAAAAACTCTACAAAACACAAAACTATAATCCCACCTCCAGACAAGCCACAGAAGTCCAGGTGGGGACCCTGGACTTCCACACTAACCAACGAAGCAGTAATGAAACCCTACTCCACCCACGGTGTTAATGAAGATTAAATTGACATAAGTTTAAAATTAAATTCCTATCAAAATCTAAAACAACTGGTTAAAAAAAAAAGAAAAAAGTGGGCGGAATTAGCCTGACCAATTCTAAGACTCATTAAGTAATCAAGACTGTGTAATATTGGTGGAATATAAACACATCAACAAAACATAACAGAGAACCTGGAAATAGACCTACAGAAATAAGCCCAAATGATTTTTCACAAAAGTACAGAAGCTGTTCAATGGAGGAAAGAGAAACTTCAAAAATTAGTGCTGGAGCAACTGGACATTTATAGACAAAACTGTGAACTGCAACCTAAGTCTCACACCTTACAAAACGTACCATGGACTTAAATGTAAAATGTTAAGACTATGTAACTTTTAGAAAAAATCATTAGAGAAAATTTGCTAGACCTACAGCTAGGTGAAGAGTTCTTAGACTTGATACCAAAAGCACAATCAATAAAAATAAAAATTACATCCAGATATCATCAAAATTAAAAATTTTTGCTCTGCAAAGGACCCTTTTGAGAGAATGAAAAGTCAAAGTACAGAGTGGGAGCAAATATTTGCAAATCTGACAAAGGACTACTATCTTGAATTAAAAACACAATACTGAAAAAAATCCAATTAGAAAATGAACAAAAGAAAGACATTTCATCTAGGAAAATATACAGGGGATAGGTGGGAGAGAGTGAGTGGGGGAGGAATGGTGAAGGAAGGAATATGGTTTGGGGAGGTGAATACACTAGACAATATACAGATGGTGTATTATAGAATCGTACCCCTGAAACATGTCACCCCAATATGTTCAATTTAAAAAATACAATAGTTACAGATACACAGAGGCCTAATAAGCACATGAGAAGACATTCAACATTACTACACAGCTATCAGAATGGCTAAAATAACAAATAGTGAGGCCCTGGCCAGGTAGCTCATTTGGTTAGAGTGTCATCCCGACATGTCAAGGTTGTAGGTTCAATACCCAGTCAGGGCACATACAGGAAGCAACCAGTGAATGTGTAAGTAAGTGGAACAACAAATCAAAGTGCCTCTTTCTCTCTCTCTCAAATCAAAAATTTTAAAAAATAGTGAGAACACTAAATGCTGATGAGTATGCAGAATGGAATCACTCATACAATCCTGATGGGAATATAAAATGGCACAGTTGCTTGGAGAAAAAAGTTTGGCATTTTCTTTAAAAAATTAATTATTTAACTACCATGCAACCTGGCCATTGTATTTCTGAGGGCTTAATCCGTGAGATGTAAAGAGTAACAATCACAAAAAACCTGAACATAAATGTTTATAGTAACTTTCTTTGTAACACCCAAAACCTAGAAACAACCCAGATGCCCTTCAGTAAGTTGAATAGTTAAACAAAACTGTGGTACGTCCATACTCAACAGTAAAGAAGGATGTACTGTTGATGTATGAAACAACCTGGGTGAAAGGCCAAAGAATGATGCTGAGCAAGTGAATACAGCCAATCCTAAAAGGTCGCATGCTTACACAATTATTTATGTAACATACTTGAAATTGAAATTAAATTATAGAAATGGAAAACAAAATAGTAGTTGCCAGGGATTAAGGAGAGGACAGCTAGGAGGAAAGTGAATGTGAACAAAAAAGGGCAACATGAAAGAACCCTGTGGTAGTGAAAATATTCTATATCCGGACTATACAAATATCAATATCCTGGTTCTGGTATTACATTGTAGTTTTGCAAGATGTTACAATTGGGGGAAACTGGGTAAAGTGTATGGCATCTCCACATAATTTTTATAACTGTAAGTGAATCTATAATTATGTTAAAATAAAAAAATTCTTAAAGAAACTATCTAGGAAAAAAAGAAAGAAAAAGAAGGTATACTTGAAAGTACACTTCCTGGTAGCACTACCACCAATACTATATCCAGACACAAAGAAGGTGCTCAGAGTCAACTCATTAACCATTCACAACTCCATTAGGCAGTGTTATTATCCTCATTTTAAAGCAATTGGAAGCACAGAAAAGCTAACTTACCCAGGGAAGCACAGCAAGCATTCCATGCCAGGTGAGCCCAAGCCCATATGCTGTGCAGCACTCAACTGCCTACTTACTCAGTGTATGTACACTGAGTGACCACTCATCTGGGCCACCAAAACCACTGTAAAGAACCCTATACTCTCCTCTGGTCTCAGCCTTTCTGATGAATTTTCCTTCTCTTCATTTGCCAAATTTCCGTCTTTTAATTAACAACTTTCAAGTAAGAGTAGCTTCCAGCCATGATTCTGTAGCTCAGCGGATAGGGCACTGACCCAACCGAAAGGTCGCCTATTTGATCATCAGGGCACATGCCTGGGTTGCAGGCCAGGTCCCACGTTGGGAACATGCAAAAGGCAATCAATGGATGTTTCTCTCTCTCTCCTTTTCCCTCCCTTCCCCTCTCTCTAAAAATAAATAAAATATTTTAAAAGAAAAAGAAAAAGAGTGGCTTCCAGCCAGGCTCACTCTGTACCTTTTACTGTAATATCCTCTTTACAACTATGACAAATTATGCCCTGTAAATCACACAAACCTATGTTCGAATCTCAGCTAGCTTTACATAGTAAGAGCAAAATAAAAAGATCACAATAACCCAATAACCAAAACGACAATCAATCAAGGATTTGCTAAATTACCGTTAAAATGCATACCACATGGGCATGGAGGGGCTATCAATCACAAACCTCCTCCTTCCATAGGCACAAGACTAGGGGACGTGACCCAAGCCTGCCAGAGTAGCCCATCCTCCTGACCACAGTGACCAGTTCAGGGTTGGCTGTCTCAAGCCTTACCGGTCATGATCATCACCAGGACTTCTGTGCTGAGCTAACAGGAGAGATGGCTCCTCTTTTCACTGAAGTGGCTAAGTTGGGAGGATGTCAACTCGATGATTCTGGAGACCATCTGTAAGTCACAGGGCAGAAGGCCACCTAAAGAATGAACTAGTAAGAACCGAAGAGATGGGAGCCATACTGACATTATTTGAGTACCCAGACCCAACCAATGCCTAAAGCCTGATGCTGCCCACTCTACCCGGTCATGTCAGGCAATAAATTTCTTCCATGGCTTCAGTTAGTTTGAGTTGGGTTTTCTGCTCTTGCATACAAGAGCTCTGGCCAACTCAGCAAACTCAGTAAGGTGAAATGAACTAAGTTAGTCTTTCTCAAATTGGTTCCATTTGAGGTATTAACTATCACTGAAAAAACGGATCTGTGGTCAAATTAATATAGAAATCCTGCCTCCTTATAAATTCTCAGCATGTATAAGTAGAGCAAAGACTGTGAAGAACTGCTTTCAGTAAAGAAACCACCGTCTGCAAACCAAAAGGTCACCAGCTTGATTCCCAATCAGGGCACATGGGTTGCAAGGCAGGTTCCCACTTGGGGGTGTTAAGAGAGGCAACTGATTGTTTCTCTCTCTCTCTCTCTCTCTCTCTCTCTCTCTCTTTCTCGCTCTCATTCTTTCTCTCCTTCTCCCTCCCTCCTTCCCTTCTCCCTAAAAATAAATAAAATATTTTTTAAGTCAAAATGAGAACACTTGATCTTCTCCCGACTTGATTTCTACATGCAACCACCACCAAACACTACACCAGACCCTTCCACAATTTTCCCCATCCCATGTAAAGGCAAACCCAGCCTTCTACCCGCTCAGACCAAAAATCCTGGAATCCCCTCCCTAATCCATTGCACCAACAAAATCCTGTTGGTTCTATCTTTAAAATATATTCAGAACCTGACTATCTCTGATCCTACTTACTGTTACATTCTTGGTCCAAACCATCATCAACTCTTGCCTAGCTCACTTAGTCTCCCTGCTTCTACCCTTAATTCCCAAAGGACATTTCAGCATAGAAATCAGGAAGGATCCCTTTAAAATCTAAGTTTATCTCAAGCTTCTGATCAAAACCTTTCAATGTCTTCTACCTCAGTAAAAAGTCAAGGTACTACAAGAGTCTGCAAGACCTACGTAATCAACTTTCTGTTACTTTCTTGACTTAATTGCCTATCACTCTCCCCTTCGCTCCACTCAGCCACATGGGCTTCCTTGCCCGTTCATACCTACCAGGTGTACAAACATCTCAGGGTCTTATTCTTGCCTGGAATATCTTCAACCCCTTCAGGACTTTGCTCAAATGTCCCCAGTGAGGCCTTGCTGAGCAACTCCCACATCTCACCACATATATATATACACTCTCTATTTCCATTCCCCACCTTGTTTTCTTTCCTTGGCACTTCATCACCTGCTAGATGTTTTCATTCTATTGTTACTACCTATCTCTTTCTACTAGAATATACTCTGTGTCTGTAAAGGTTTTCGTGTGCTTTGTTCACTGCTTTATTCCAGGGGGAGCCTAGAACTATGTCTAACATATTGCTCGTTCTCAATATTTTTTACTGTAGACTATCCAGTCTAACAAAGTATGGCCCCTAGTTATCCCCTCTGTCACCTCCCACTCTGTACCAACTGTACTAACCTTTTAGATATTCTCTAAGTATGCCAAACTAGTTTCTGACTCAGGGGCCTTCACAATTGCTATTCCTCTGCCTGTAATATCATCCCCCAGATATCCCTACGGCTTGCTGCCCACTTATCCACTCACATGGCACTTCCTTGGAAAGGCCTTTCCTAAACAACATGTCTGAAATAACGACACAGTGACCAAGCATTCCCCGGACATTCTCACTAACCTCTAACCCTACTTTATGCTTCATTTCTATTCATAGCACTAACCTACCTGATACCATATATGCAACTGCATCTGTCTTTCTCATTACACTGTAAGCTCCACAAGGACAGAGGCATCATCTCTTTTTCGCCACTATATCTAGAACACTTCCCAATATTCTCATGTGTGTAGCCACAGTTGTGAAACAAAATTCTACACCAGTACTTTTTACAGTGTGGTTCCCAGACCACCACAACCAGAATTACTGGGGAACTTGTTAGAAATGAAAAGTCTCCAGCTCCACTTTAGATCTATTGAATCAGATATTCTGAGTAAAGCCCAGTAATCTTTAACAAGCCTTCCAGATAATTTTGATGGCCACTAAAATTTAAGAATCATTTTCCTAGAATTATTCTGTCATAAAAGCCATCAAGCATGTTTGTCAAAAATGCATTACCTAGTCAACTGATTTTCAACAAGGATGCAAAAACAATTTCACTGAGGGAAAGAACAGCCTTTTCAACAAATGGACAACTAGAGAGCCACACGCAATGAATGAAGGTGGATTCCTACCTCTTATCACATACAAAAAGTTAACTCAAAATGAATCACAGACCTAAATTTAAGAGCTAATACTATAAAACTCTTAGAAAAAAACATAGGTGTAAATTTTCATGACGTTAGAGTAAGCACTGGTTTCTTAGTTATGACACGAAAAAACAAGCAACAAAAGAAAAAACAGATGAGACCTTAACAAAATTCAAAATTTTTATGCTTCAAAGGACACCATCAAGAGAGTGAAAAGACAACTCCACACAATGGGAGAAAAGATTTGTAAATCATATTTCTGATAAAAAGTCTTATATCAGAACACATAGGAAAAAAAAACACAGTTCAACAACAGAAGACAAATAACCCAGTGCAAAATACAGGCAAAGGATTTGAATAGACACTTATCCAAAGAAGATACACAAATGACCAATAAGCACATGAAAAGATGTATCACTAGCTATCAGGGAAATGCAAATCAAAATCATGAAATACCACTTCACACTTGCTAGGATGGCTAGATTCAAAAAGGCAGAGAATAGCACTGTGGATTAGAACAACCAGAGAGAGAGAGAACAGAGAAGAGGAAAGGGGAAAGGGCCAAGTCTTCAGAAATTCCAAATTTAACTGCCAAGTAAAAGAGAACCAGCTTTTAATAAGAACCAAGAAGCAGCCACCACATAAGGGAACAAACCAGCTGTCATTGAAGGCAAAGGCAGAGAGCATGTCAGTGGACTCAGTCATTGTAACCTAACACAGACAGATGGTTAAGTAAAATAAATGAAAATGTTTCTTGGATTTAGTGATATGGAGATCATAGTATATCCATATAATGATGGTGGGAAAGTTACTAAGAACTTGGGCTTTTTGCACATTTTATAATGTGTAACATAACACTCAAACAAAAAAAGATTTAAAATAAGTGAATACCTTGATTATCTGCAATTAGTCTCAAATCCTCTTGAAAGACTGGTCTGGAAAATAAAAATTGATTAGAAAAAGCAAGTTCACAACAAGTTCACAAAACTACAGTAAGAACTCTTTTAAAAAATTACCTAAAAGAGATTAGCCTCCATAAAACACTGTCTTATACAGCAGGGTTAATTATGGCCCATACTACTTGCAACTTCTTAATGATTAGAACAAGTGTGTTGACATCTGCCGTATATGCCATGACTAGGATCCAGCGTCTAGCAACAGTAAGAAATACTATCCGGCACTATCACAGTCTGCGTGATTCAAGTAATACCAAGAACTACAAAACGGAAATGAGGAATGAAATAGGTAGACATCCAAATCACCTTCCATCCGAAAGACACGGGTCGCCCTGAGATGCAGACTGATTTTATGACTAAACGAGAATGAAAAGTGAAAACACAGGACATCTACTCTTACGATTCCAGTTTAAATTCTTAATGAGGTACAGCTCTGTGAAAGCTAAATAACTGCGACAGTCTCCTCCCGTCCTACACAATCACTAACGCAGAAAGTGGGAGAACGAATAAAGTTTATCTTGACAATAAGGAACGAGATCCCTTCACACTCCGTACAGCTCTGCACCACCTGAGGCCAAGGACCCTGTCCTCACTTTTGGAAGCACTCCCAGCCTCCCCGTTCCCCCATCCCACCTGGCAGGTCCCTCTTTAACTGCGAAATAAACCAGCGAAGACTATAATTGGGGAAACAAGGCTACGCCATGAAACGAGCTCCGGCCGCACTGTGCCCCACACTGATCCACCTGCCACCCTTACCCAGTAGTCGAGAAATAACAAACCAGACCAAAGAAACTCACCGCTCTCCGGAACAGCACAGACTTCAGATGGAGCTCGCCATGACACCTACGTCCCGCCACGTTCAACTGCGCGTGCTCGGCGACGGTGGCCCGGGGAGATCAAATTACATCACTGCTGAAGCGCGAGTTCTGCTTTAATTTAGTTTAGTAATGATTATGCTTATATTTCTTTTGGCTGCAGAGGCAAAAATAGACGCCCAAGGCATCGGGTTCTTAGAACCAGTTAACAGTTAACTTCTCAGTACCTACTGTGTGTCAGGCACTGTGTTAAGGTTAAAGGCTTTACATAAACATCTTCTATTGACTTATTTATTATTATATATTATTTTACAAAAGAGGAAACTGGAGTTTAAGTACTTGCCCAAAGTTACTCCCCCAGTAATACCTCTGTGATGAATTCAGTTCTTCCTGAATCCCAAAGAACCTACTTTTTTCATTACATTTTCTAGCTTACTCAACCTTTTGTGAAAAGAGGTCATATTAGGGAAGAGAATAGAAAAGGACAGAGAAAGAAAATTGGTAGATTAAATTTAATATAGGTCACTAAACACCAAGCAAGTTAGCAGCTAAACTGTAAAGCAGTTGAACAGAGAAAGAGAACTTCCGTGGAGTATACTGATTCTAACATGGTGTTTTACACGTGTTATCTCACTTTATTATTTTTTCTCCAAGGCACTATTTGACTTCCTGTTCCCCAGAAGACTTTCGAAAGTGGAGGCCATGAGCCATGAACAGAAACTCAGAAATCATGAGCTATATGTCTGACTATGGGTTTCACAGTGCTTTGGAGGAATTGCCTTACTTTATAAATGCCTTTCCTAGTGCAATTCCCTCAAATTAAAATGCCACCCTTCACTCATCCATATCCATAAAGAATCTAAACTATGTCCAGGGGCCCACTGCAGTCCTCATTCAGTGAATTATAACTGTATGTTTATGTTGTCTCTTTCACTAAACCCCAAAAAGCAGGCCCTAGGTAATCTTCTTGGCTGTAATCCCTCTGCATAGCACATAATCACCACTCAACATTAACAGGAATGAATGAATGGCTCCACTTTTTTCCCCAAGCTCTAGTTAAATTCAGTTAAAGAAATTTTATCTTCTGCACACCACATGACATCAAATACTGTGCTTGATGCTAGAACTAGAAAAGATCACTTCCACTACTATTTCAGTCTACTTCAAGGAAATAGTTTGAGTAGAGATAGCGATCATCATGGAAAATGAATGCAGACCTGTAGATCACAAAGGGGAGCTTCCTCCTCTTGCCTGGAGAGGTCAAGACTTCCCACAGGGATGAAGTAAGGGAAATGGATAAAGGTAGTCCAGGCTGAGAAGACAAAGAGCAAATTCATGGAAGCCTGAAACTGTGAACTATTCTTGTACATCATAAAAGCAAAAATAGTTGGGTAATACTAGAGAAGGCTGGAGAGGCAAAGTGCAAGGACCAGATTAAGGTGAACCTTGTTTGCCAAAATGGAGACAAGCATTTAAGTGCTTGAGGCAAATTCTTCTCTCAGGAGGATGGGCGGAATACAACACTTCAGATGTGAAGAAATGCTGAAAGCCTAAATTAAGCTGGAGCCATGAGGAATTGTAAATGGAATGGAAGGACAGAAAAGATACTGAAAAAATAACATTAGCAAGATTTGGTAATTGATAGGTGCCACAGCAAATGATACAAAGATGTTTCCAAGTTTTTGCATAAAATGAGAAACACCAATACCACTTTGGTGAATTCTGTCTAGTTAGGGACATATTCTGAATCATATGAAAAGCCAGTGACCCTCCCTCCAGGAATTTACATTACAGAAGTGCTCACAATTAACAAAATGATATATGTGCTAGATTATTCTTTGAAACTGCTTGAAAGAGCAAGACTGGAAACCCTCTCTGGCTTCTAATGAGGAGATTGGTCAAATATATTGTATTTATATCTACTACACAGCCCTTTAAAAAGAACAAGTTTGCATTTAATGTGATAAGACATTATTAAGTGAAAAAAGAAAGTTGAAATTACATACACAATAGGTGAATATACTCACTGGAAGACAGATAGATAGTATCTCTGGTAGAACATATAGTAACTGGTAATGAGGTTATCTCTAGGATAAGGAACTAAGTGACTAAAGGAAGATCTATTTTCCCCTGTATAACACTTTGTACCTTTTATTTTTAAGTATATTTTATTGATTAAGCTATTACAGTTGTCCCATTTTTCTCCCCTTTATTCCCCTCCGCCCTATACCCTCTTCCCTCCAACATTCCCCCTCCCCTTAATTCATGTCCATGGGTCATACATATAAGTTCTTTGGCTTCTCCATTCCTGTACTATTCTCAGCTTCCCCCTGTCTGTTTTGTGCCTACCAATTATGCTTCTTATTCCCTGTACATTTTCCTCCATTCTCCCCCTCCTCCTCCCAAGTGATAACCCTCCATGTAATCTCCATTTCTTTGATTCTCTTCCTCTTCTAGTTATTTGCTTAGTTTTTGTTTTTGTTTTTTTAAGTTCAGTTGTTGATAGTTGTGAGTTTGTTGTCATTTTACTGTTCATAGTTTTTTATCTTTTTTTTCTTAGGTAAGTCCCTTTAACATTTCATATAATAAGGGCTTGATGATGATGAACTCCTTTAACATTACCTTATCTGGGAAGCACTTTATCTGTCCTTCCATTCTAAATGAGAGCTTTGCTGGACAGAGTCATCTTGGATGTAGGTCCTTGCCTTTAATGACTTGGAATACTTTTTCCAGCTTCTCCTTGCCAGAAAGGTTTCTTTTGAGAAATTAGCTCATAGCCCTATGGGAATTCTTCTGTAGGTAACTGTCTCCTTTTTTCTTGCTGTTTTTAAGATTATCTCCTTATCTTTGATGTTGGGTAACTTAATTATGATGTATATTGGTGTCTTTCTTCTTGGATCCAACTTCTCTGAGCTTCCTGGACTTGCACGTCTAGTTCCTTCACCAGATTGGGGAAATTTTCCTTCATTACGTCTTCAAATAAATTTTCAATTTCTTGCTCTTCCTCTTCTCCTTCTGGCACCCCCATGATTCAGATGTTAGAATGTTTAAAGTTGTCCCACAGGTTCCTAAGCCTCTATTCCTTTTTTTTAAATTATTTATTCATTCTGTTCTGGTTGGATATTTATTTCTTCCTTTTGTTCCAAATTGTTTGAGTCCTGGTTTCCTTCGCTTCACTGTTGATTCCCTGTATATTTTGCTTTATTTCACTTTGTGAAATAAATCCATTTCATCCTCTTTTTTGCAACCATACTCAATCATTTCTGTGAGCATCCTGATTATCAGTGTTTTGAACTCTGCATCTGATAGGTTGTTTATCTTCTCACCACCTAGTGTTTTTCTGGAGCTTTTATCTGTTCTTTCACTTGGGCCATATTTCTTTGTCTTGGTGCAGCTGTTATGTTATAAGAGGTAGAGCTGTAGAAATTCTCCAGGGCGGGCAAACCCACATTGCTTCTTTGTTGGCGCTGTATATGGGAAAGGAGTCCAAGAGGGTACAATACTGCTTGCTCATATCTCACCCCACTTCCCATCACTTCCCTCACTTCCCACAAGCAGATTGTGCCCTTTCAGGTGCTGATTCCCAGGTGAGTGGGCTTGTGTATGTTCTAGGACCTAGTGGGTCTCTCCGACAGACTTTACTGTGAGACTGGGAGTTTCCCCCACCACTGCAACCCCCAAAGGTTTTTACAGCCAGAGGTTTTGAGGCTTTAGTTCCTATGCTAGAACACTGTGCTGCAAGGTCTGTCTTGCTCCCCAGTTGTTGCTCCTGGTTTATCCACACATGAATGTGGGACTGCCCAGTCTGCCACTGTCCACCTTGCCTTGCATCCTCTCCACTCCAGTTTCCTATCTCTGTCCCTCCTACCAGTCTGGATGAATGTTTCCTCTTTAATTACTTCATTGTCAGACTTCCATGCAGTTTGATTTTCTGGCAGTTCTGGCTATTTTTTGTTTTTAAATTGTTTTTTATCCTTCTTTTGGTTGTGTGAGGATGTGAAGTATATCTACCTATGCCTGCATCTTGGCCAGAACTCCTATTTTTGTGCCATGCAAATGCGTTGTTTATTCAAAAAATAAATGAGTACATTTTATTAAGAAAGTTAAAATGGCATTTGATGATTTATAATTTACTAGTTTATCTGTTACATTGTAGTGTGGAACTTTAATTTTCCTTATTATGAATATACAAATTTTAAGTATTTTATTGTGATGAAACATCCAGAACATGAAATTTACCATTTTAATCATTTCTAATTATACAGTTCAGTACAACTGTACTGAGCACATTCACAATATTTGTGCGACCGTCACCACCTTGCATCTCCAGAGCTTTCTCGCCTCCCCAGCTGAAACTCTGTGCCCAACAACTTCCATTTCTCTCTCACCTCAGCCTCTGGCAGCCACCAGAGGTTGCGTGAATTTGACTGCTTTAGGTACCTCTTACAATATTTGTCCTTTTTTTAACTGTGTCTTTTTCACTTAGAGTTATCTAAGGTTCTTTCATGTTGTTGTAGCATGTCAGAATTTCTTCCTTCCTTTTTAAGACTGAATAACATTCTGTTGTATGTTTATTCCATATTTTGTTTACAAATTTTAAGTCTTTATGCTTTGTCTCTCAGATTAGGTTGTAAACTTCACAAGAATTGACACCCCATATTGTTAATGGATTTAGCCCATAACATAGTATTAAATATTTTATGAATGTTTGGTAGTAAAAAAAAAACCCAATTGGTATATAGTACTAAAAATGCAAGTGAATCTACAAAATAATAGTAAGGGTTTACCAGAATAGTAAGGGTCATGTTTAACAACTTAAAAATGCTTGTCAGTAACTATATTATGCCCTCTGTGAATTATCAAATTTATTCAACACAATCACTGTCTAAATAGTCTGATAATTAGGAGTACTCTTTCCTTTCATTATCCTTTGTTTTTGGTTTTTTTTCCCCCAAAGGAAAAAACTGAATCTTAGGCAGTTTGAGTTGTTTTTTATTGTTTTTTTTATTTTTCAATTACAATTGATATACATTTTATTAGTTTC